TATATATATATATATATGTTTACCACCTTCACCTTCTGTATTTAAATGTGTTTACCTAATAAAACTTCCAGAAGTAGATTCTCTACTGTAAGTCTGTCATGCAATAAACTAGACTTTAGTGAAAAAACCCACCACAAGAATCAGAATCGGGGGAAATCAGACGCAGGTTTATGTTCTGACAATAATGATTAAAGAATGTCAGGACGAGGGAATAGGAGGACGTGATTATGTGAGACAGGTTGGCATCTGTCATTTTTGTTTTTAATTAGAAGTCTATCTTTTGTAATTAAGATGTGAGGAGGTTAATTAAGACTTATCTCTACTGCTGTGAGAACATCGTTTGGATTAAGACCTGCTGTTTGAAGGCCTGATTAATAATGGGTGCGTACACGAAAGGGACGCTTCACCATGGAAACAAAGAGCAAGCAAAAGCATTTTAAGATGGTGTTTTTAAATTTAATAAAAGCACCAAACTGATTTTCTGAGTCAGATGTAAAAGAGTATTAGTCATTTCTACAGTTCTTATTATTAGTCAGGAGAGTGAAAAATTAGAGACTTTGTACCAAAAACACAAGCTAAGATCTTGATTTCAGACACAAACTGTGGGAATGCAACATGCAGCTCAACTGCGCCACCTTGTGGCTATTCATAAGAGTGCATTTATACTTTTCTGGACCAACTATTACACTCTCATGGATTTGTCTTTAGTTTAGTGATTTTTTCCTTCACTCTGTTATAGAACAGGTGAGAGAATACTGACGGTCCGATAATTTTTAAGCAAGAGTCCTCCAAAATGTATAAAACGTCATAGTATGCAAAGTTCACAGCATTGCAGATCTGAATCAGTTTCTGTTTATCAGGCTGCTCCCCCTCCTCAAAGTCGATCTGATGAACTCTTAAGGTGAACAGCCGATCCTCCACCAAGGTCTTGAGGTCTTCCAAGGCCTGCTGGATCCTTGAGGTTGTCTTGGAGGTCTTGAACGATACCCGTGTAAGGTCGCTGCCTTCAGAGCACTCGGCGGACCACTCGAGGCCTCTCAAGCACCTGTCCAACTCCCTCTTGTCAAACCTTTTGATGTATCTGAATATGTTCGAGTCCACCAAGATGCACGTGTCCTCTGGATGCTCTGGACAGATTGCAGGCAGCTCTTCTGTACCCTTCCTACCGCTCTCGGAGGACCGCGAGACATCTTTACGTCTGGTCTGGAGGAGCTTAGCAGTGACGGCTGAGCTGCTCTGATCCGATTCCTTCAGATAGTCGGTGTAGCGGGAGCCCAAATAACTCTCTTCTCTGATCTTGGCTGCTGAAATCCTGTCTGGTCTCGTGTGTTCTTGTGAAATATCGTCTTCTCGTGGCTGTACTGCTGATATTTCCTCTGCAGGGAGCGCGTCCAGGCCTGATAAGAAAGATCTAATCCCTGCATTGATCTCCTCTCCGAGCACTTGTCTGGGGCTGGCCTTCGCTCGCTCGAGTCTGAGCCGAGCTCTCTGGGCCTCTTCATCACCATACGTGCTGTTAAAACTCCCTGCAGCCCAAGTCTCATCTAAAGGTTTTCGCCTCGAGGAAGCGTTATGAGTTTTTGCATTTGAGAGCAGGCTTTGGACTTCACCTGTGGTCTGTAGTGGCATTGATAAGCTGTTTGAGCTCGCTGGCTCCAGCTTAGCTTTAGAACCGCTGCAGCTTACAGAGCTGACAGACTCCTGATGAGATATTACCCTCGGATTAAGAGGACTCCCTCTTAGTTTGACGGCGGCATTTTGGGCCGAGACTGGGGATCCAAGCCGGCCGGCCCTGCGGATGAGGTCCTCTCTCAGGGCCCGGACGGCAGTTAAAGGCCCTTCAATGGTGGCTTTGCTCTGGTGGAGCAAAGGCCGGAAACGTATCGACCTGTGAGCCGACTGCAGACTTTGAATGAGCGTTGCTTGTTCCCTGCCGAACAGGGAGAGATCGACCGTAGCGCTGCTGACATAGAGGAACACCTGCAGCACAGGAACACATTCAAATCAGGATCTTATATCACCCGATACAAATATAAATTGTTTAACTGGTTTAAAAGAAGATATCTGGCCATACTTACATCTCTGGTGAAGGGGAACACAGTGAGAGCGTAGCCTTCAGACTCTTCAAACTCCTTGTCCGTCATGATGTGTCGCTCCTTCCGCACCACCCTCTCCGCATCTGCCAAGAGTACTGTAGTGTTCAGCTATGGTCTCGACCCGTGTCACCATTATAATGATGCTTGTTATTTCTTTGTCACAGAGAGGAGAACTCCACTCATTATCTACCAGTCTGATGCTGGCTCGCTTATGGCTGTGATACTGCGACAGATGAAACCGCTCATCAGGGGAGGCATACATCCAGGCAGCACTTCATGTAAATAAATGGTTGATTTATACTTTACCCCCTCTCCACATTAACATACCGGTTCCCATGGGAACTAATTAAAGCATAAAACAGGAGATGTTTAACAATGACTGCAAGTGGATTGTGTACAGTACAGTTGGTTTAGGGCTTTTTATGTGTTTTTATTTGTTCCTCTCACATATTACCATTAAATTTGAGTCACAGATAATAAGCATCTGAATTTCTGACACATAAATACTCGACTGTATGTGAAAAAAAAAACAGAAGCTTCTGACCATCTGGATGGGAAACTGTTCCCATCTGTTACACGCTAAAACAATTTTGAAATCCATTCCTCAATTTGTGTCTGTATTTTCTGATCCAGGTAGGTGTGAAAACACTAGAAAAAACATTTAACATCACTTTGCATGAAATAAACATCAATACAACTGATAGAAGCTTTTATTTGTGTTTACAGTGTACAAAGTGAGGAAGGAGATATGTCATTTCCTGCCACCATATTTGTTTGGATTTGGAAGAAAAAAAAGCCACAACTTGTTGAAAATTGGTTAAAAATCTTTTATTGTGCGGCAGACCTAATACTTTTTAATCCAGATGGTTAGAAAAGTCTCTAAAGTGTCTGGAAATACCTTAAATGAGATGTATTGATGCTTGGCTCTGTGACAGGAATGTAAAAATAAAGTTAATACATGAGAGGAAGTTACTGTGGCTACAGGATGAGGACGTGAGCCTTAAATTAGTCTTTTTTTAAATGGAGTTCGGCGTATTATTAACCTATTTGTTAATTTATTTAACTTGTGCTCCCAAAAGTGCAGACAACTCATAACACACACACACACACACACACAGTATGATTAGCCTGTAGCTTTTAGCTTCAGCCTGTTAATTTACCTTTAGCTCGGTCAAAAGTGACAAAAGCGACCCCGTCCATGTTGGTGGGATATCGGACCACCTCGACGTCTCCACCCTGGCTCCTCCGGCGGCTCTGGAAATGAATAGTCAGCTTGTCTATCATCCTGCTGGCGGGCAGCACGTCGACCACACCGGACACAACCACCGTCCTGCTTTCTCCCCGGACATCAGTCTCCTCTCCGGCTGCAGCCATGAAGCCAGGCAGCAAAACATCTCAGCTAAAAGCGGCTAACGCGCCTTTTTTTCCAGGGACCATAAACACGCCGTTGCTATACACACACACAGTCACCAGTTAAGTTTTTGTTTCACTTTCATGTTTCCTGTGGCTGTGTTGTTCACGGATGCAGTAACAGCCTTTGGCCACTAGGTGTCTCTGTTTGTCTACATTGCTGCTTCACTTCCATGAGGGTTTATTTCAAAATGGCTCATTTATGCAGCTGGAAATGAGGCTACTAAACAGAGCAAATATCTCTGCAATGCCCAAAAGGCAAAAGACACAAACTCCATGGCAACATTTTCCAAAAGAGTTGCCTCATGTGTTGCATTCTCTCTCTCCCTCTCTCTCTCT